TATCGGATCTCTGAGCCGCTGTATAATCACACTCGGTACATTTATGTAAATGAATTCCTGTATGGATAGTTTCATGTCGTATCACACTTGATCTATGTGTAGATGCATAATCACAAAATCCACAATTATATGGCTTAATATTAAAATGTTTATTTATATGTCTAATAATACTTGATTTAATGTTAGCTTCAAAATTGCAAAGTTTACATTTAAGACATTTTATAAATTTACCATTTATGTTTTGTACTATATACTCAACATAATTGTATATATTATAGTTTGGTTTATTCACACACACACACATTCAAGTTTATTTATATATAACTTAATGAATTTTATATAATATATTGTGATTATTTTTAAATATTACGTGAGATTTCTTGATGGATAATCCCTTATCTTGATCAATATAAACCTTAGCTTATAAGTTTACTACAATCTATTGTCTTCTTTTAGTAGATTTACTAAAATTTTCAAGATTGTTTTATAATTTTATCTTCTCTTGAGTTAATAATAACCAAAATTCCTATGTCACACATAAAAACTGATTATTTTGCCTCTCTTTGTTGTTGATAAGGATAGCAAAAAAATATATATATGTAGTACATGTATTTTGTGTGTTGTGTTCCTTAATATATATTACTTAGATACATTTTTTTTTAGATTTAAAAAATTCTATGATTTTTTTTTTTTTTTCAAATAAAAAAAAAATATTAAATTAAAAAAATTAAATTATTAATATATTATATACAGTATAACATCTCACTATTTTTTTCAATGTACAAGTATTTCAGATGAAAGAAAAACATTTATTTCGAAACAGGATAATAGATTCCCGGACACAGTTGAGGATATCTTAACAAACTACATAACAGATAGAAAGTTTTCACTGGATCTATGTGGGTTTTACAAGGCAGTGAATAAAAAGGCATCATTACTGTTACTTTGAATTGAGTGAATATGTGTATATGTGTGTATATATATATATATTATATATATATATATATTTTTTTGTTGTTGTTCACTTCTTTATCTCTTTCTTACTTTGCTTCTTGGATCCTGCAGTCGAGTCTTTTGTAAGACTTTGGGTCTTAATGGGGGCTTTTGTTGTTATGTTGTATATATGTATGTGTATGTATATATCATACTTACATAATCTTTATTTTTCTTCTTCTGTATATTCCCCACTTTCACAGGCCTATCTCTCTTGTAATCTCGGGGAGAATCCTCTATAAGACCAATGTGTCTTAATAAAGGCTTTTGTGTGTGTGTATATACAGTATAACCTCGTTAATTCAACATATGCCAATTCAACATTTTACGATATTTTGACCATATTCTGATGTCCCGACCTCTGGCCTATCAGTAGAAATTGTTTATTTTTAAAAAGAATCATACGAGTCTATAATAGTTTTGAATTTTGATAACAGATGGAACGCTAATGCGTCATAAGAAAGTATAATGGTTCTAATTAATATTATTAATTTATATTACACAAAGCTATATTTTCAAAAAATCTATTATTTTGGTGAGTTAGATGATTAGCAATCATCTCTGACTAACTTTAATTCAACACTTCCTTTAATTCAAACCAAAAGCTCTGATCCCTTTGGGTGTTGAATTAAAAAGGTTCGATTGAATATAAAAGTCAGTGTATGTATGTTTGTTGGCTATACAAATCCTCAATAAAGACCTAATTTGGCTGAAATTTGAACAGGACATAGAGAAAAAATTGGAAGAGTTTATTGTCGCATTTTTAGCCAAGAAAAATTAAAATTGACCAAGTTCTGGGCAAAAAGAGTTATCTTTTAGTCAGAAAATGATGATGACAATATTTCTGTACCATGTTTGATTGTCAGAAACAAAATTCTTTCACAGGGAAAATTTCATAAAGCAGACCACCGGCGAAGCCAGATCATCACTTTAAGTAGGCAGGAACAAAATTCTAACAGAAAAACATTCACTCGAGCAGAAGACACACAAAACCAAGTCATCTCTCTATATAAAATATCACTTCTCAGCTTTTTAGCTATGTTCAAAGTACAGTACTGGGCAAAAATTATTGTTTTTTAGTCAGAAAATGATAATGACAATATTGCTGTACCATGTTTGATTTCCAGATAGAAAATTCTTTCACAGGGAAAATTTCATAAAGCAGACCAAAGGCGAAGCCAAATAGTCATTTATAGTAGGCAGGAACTGAATTCTAACAGCAAAACATTCACATGTGCAGAAGACACACAAAGCCAAGTCATCTCTCTATATAAAATATCGCTTCTCGGCCTTTTATCTATGATCAAAGTATAGTATATATATATATGTGATAATCTGTATATAGGATTATGTACCCCCACCACAATCCCATGTATCATCTAAAGGTTTAATAAACTTTAGGCCTCGCGAGATGGAAGGAAACAAAGTTACAGGATTGCATCATTCAGGAAGTAAAGGTCACTGCCCTGGACCCATAAAACTTAAGTTCAAAGGCATTCTTCTTCCTGGAGGATTGCAATCATGACGGCAATGGAGGTTCTGAGCTAATCACCTTTGAGGAGGACAAACTAGTAACGAATCACCAGAGCGCACGTGTGAGGATCTCAGCCAATGAGAAGTCCGAGATAGTCAATGACGATCATCTCGGACAAAAAAAGACAGAAGATAGGTGACCGTGCTACGAGCTAGGTGTGCTCAACATAGGCTCCAACCAAGGCAGTGTACGCTCCATAGATGTGGAAGGCCAGCCACCTCCGCCGAACTTTCTTCCCTCCCTCGCAGGTCCTATTCAAACCCATCCAGTTGTGTTGTTCCTCCCCTGTGGAACCCTTGTCACCCAACCAAGACTACACCATCCCCACATTTATATACAGTCGAACCTCTTTAATTCAACACCCCAAGGGATCAGAGCTTTCGGTTGAATTAAAGGAAGTGTTGAATTAAAGTCTGATGATTAGGTGGTAATCATCTAACTCGCTAAAATAATATTTTTTAAAAATAGCCTTGTAATATAAATTAATGTAATTAATTGAAACCATTGTGTGTTTTTATTTTATTTTCATGATTAACTTTTAGTATCAGTGACAAAATGGCATTAATACATATTTTAGAAACATAAATAATTGTAACAAATAAATTTACTGGCAATGTGTTTCTTTTAAGTAATATAATCAAATATTAACTCTACAGACATTAAAATATTAAATATAATATATTAAATAATATTTTATTCTAATTGAAAAATATAGCAGTTGAAAGGGAATAAATATGGAAAATAAAAAGAAAATTTAAAAATAATATTTAAAAATAATCATGAAGAGATCTTTTAAAAAATTCCTTTATAGATGTCAGTTTTTGCATTGAAATCTTATTCAGGATGTATTCCAGATAGTCATTTTGAAAAAACATGCATGCCTTTCTTTCTCTGAAATGTCTTTTAATAAATAAATTTTAATGTATTAAAGTCATTCACTGCTGCTGCAGGTATTATTGATTTTGTGTTTAAATCTTTTATAATAACACAGAAATGGAATATTGAAATAAAATGTTATCATAATCATTGTGGCTACATTTTATAAAGATTTATTCATTTAAAAGGAAATTATTTGTAAATTTTAAAATAACTAAAATATTTTAATGCTGAAGTTTAAAAATAAAATATTATTGTTAATTAGCGCACGAAGCCTTTATCCCAGCGTAAAAAAAAAAAAAAAAAAAAAACAATAACACTCGCGAGATTGCGCAACGGCACTGCAAAGTGAAACTTAAACTAACCAGGAAGCAAAAGTGCGCGCGCGCGATCCTATCGGCGCCCGCCGATCGCCGCCGTAATACCTTTTTAGCGGAAAGTTGTAAGTAAAAAAAACATTCAACTGTCGAAATTCGAATTTTAAAATGGTCGAACTATCGGAAGTGTCGTATTATCGATATGTCGAATTACGGCCGGAGGTCGGGACATCAGAACACGGTCGAATTATCGCCGAGTGTCGAATTGGGGTGTATCGAATTAACGAGGTTATACTGTATATAAAAGTCAGTTATGTCTATACAGTAGAACCTCCCCATAAGAGGACACTCCCGCTAGAGGACACCTCTCTACAGAGAACAGTTTTCATTTGCAAAATTATCATTTTTACTATTTAGCAACTCTCCAGTAAGAGGACACCCCTCTCCTTAAAGAACACTTTGGCTCTGCAATTAGGTATCCTTTACAGGGAGATTCTACTGTATTTATATATGTATATGTTGGCAATACATGTCCTCAATAAGTACCTAATCTTGCTGAAATTTTAACAGGACATAGAGAAAAATATGGAATAGTTTATCGCCACATTTTTAGCCAAGAAAAATTGGAATTCTCCAAGTACTGGGCAAAAAGAGTAATCTTCTAGTCAGAAAATGATGATGACAATATTTCTTTGATATTTTCAATATTTAGATTGTTTCTTAGTATTCTATAGCTTACAAACTATATAAGGTGTGCCTCTCTCACCTTGGGATTACAAGAAAATAACTGGGAAAATCAAGATAAATATTTATTGTAATGCAGTTAAACCTGTCTATAGCGTCCCCTCTTGGGACTCACCAAAATAGGGTGCTATATAGAGGGGGGTACTATAGACAGGTCACTTTCAATGTAAAATGTTTACATTTTAATGTTTAAAATCAGGCGCTATTGAGAGGAAGGCACTATTTAGAGGGGGCACTATAGACAGGTTTAACTGTATATTTATTTATTGTAATATTGTAATTCATTATAAAGGACTGTGGCGTATGATTATAAACAACACTTAAAGTTTCACCGCATAAGTTTCTTTTCTGTGAAAAATCAATATTTATTTCAAAGAGAAATATTTACTATTTCTAACTTTTTTGGATGAAGTATGAAAGGGTGAAAATATGAAGAGTAATGGCGAAGTATGAAGTATGAAAGGGTGAAAATATGAAGAGTAATGGCGAACGGAAAAATAAAAGTGTCCAGGGGCGGGAATCGAACCCACAAGGTAGTCCAGGGTAGCCTAGTGGACATGGCATCTGCCCGGTAAGCGGAACATTGTGGGTTCGATTCCCGCAATTTGGGCAATTTTTTTCTGATAAAAAAAAAATGCTCCAATGGCCCCCGATTCATTCAAAAGTCCAACCCCACCAGTGAGTGCAAGTAACCAAATGGGGCTCTGTCACATTTGTAAGTGCAAAGTCGAACTGCTTTTCACATGTGTAGACATGTGGTGCACTTACAGTAAAAGCAGTCTCTAACTACCCACCATGATTATCATGGCCTGTACCACATGTACTAGGGTAAAGTTTTCAACTAGCAATAATCGCGCGCCTCGGAAGATCCTCATGGGCTACGATATCGCCTCTGCGCGAAGCGTGTACTAGGGATTAGCAAAAAAAAAAAAAAAAGGAAAAAAAAAACTGTATATACATTGTTTGTGTGCATACAGATGTACAATTTCAACTTAGACTTACTGGGAGTTGAGACATTTTCCCAGCGAGTGTTCATGACCTCAAATTAGACAGAAATCCAAATTTTAAGGTTCCTATCACTAAAACCTTCTTCAATTACAAGCCAGAAATAATTGTTAAAATATTATTTTGTCTTAAAAAATATATTAATATGTTTAAAATATCATCATGCATATATATTTCTTTATGCAGTTAAACCTGCCTATAGCGCCCCTTCTAAATAGCGCCTTTTAGCTAAATATATTCTATGTACATAATACTAACCCTTTAATCCCTTTTGTCTGAAATTACATTTTTGGGACACTTTTTTTGGATTATTTGTAGATATGTGGCGATCACACTTTGCTTCAGCAAGCGCGAACTGGGACAAAGCTCCATTATACACATGGGCAGTGGACGGCCTCGGCAACCGCGAGCATCAACCTGACTACGCATGCGTGCGGGACGTCATCCGAGACTTTTGCTGGCCACTGGCGACATAACAACAAGGCCTGCTCCCAACGGCCATTACTTCAACTGTTACTTCTTTTCTCTCTATATATTTCTGGCTTTAAATAAATTAATTTTAATTATAATTTTATCAGTGGCCTTTCCACAAGCCACACCACACATCATGCAACAACCATTCCAAAGATATTTTAAATAATGAATCATTAACAAAAAAAAATCATTAAGACTTTTCTACGGAAAAAAAAAAAAAGATAATTGTTTATACAGTAAAACCTCCCTGTAAAGGACACCTAATTGCAGAACCAAAGTGTCCTTTAGAGAGAGGTGTCCTCTTACCAGAGAGTTGCTAAATAGTAAAATTGGTAATTTTACAAATGAAAACTGTCTTTTGTAGAGAGATGTCCTCTAGCGCGAGTGTCCTCTCATGGAGAGGTTCTACTGTATATACAAAAACTAAGACCTAATCCAAATAAATTAATAGTGTGTGATATTCCAGTAACAATACTGATTCCAAAATGTCACACACTACTAATTTATTTGGATTAGGTCTTAGTTTCTTGTATCTGTAGGATAGTTGTTGTGTGATGTGTTGGTGTGGCTTGTGGAAAGGCCACTGATAAAATTGTAATTTATTTAAAGCCAGAAATATATAAAGAGAAAAGAAGTAATGGTTGAAGTAACGGCCATTGGAGCAGGCCTTGTTGTTATGACGCCAGTGGCCAGCAAAAGTCTCGGATGACGTCCCGCGCGCATGCGTAGTCAGGTTGACGCTCACGGTTGCCGAGGCCGTCCACTGCCCGTGTGTGTAGTGGAGCTTTGTCCCAGTTCGCGCTCGCTGAAGCAAAGTGTAGTCGCCGCATATCTATAATCCAGCAGGATGTACGCTAAAGGGAGGTTCTACTGTTATTATGAAGATCTATAAAAGTTACCCCATTGTTTTTTATAAACTAATTTTGTTTATTTATATAAAGTGTATGTGTGTAAGTAAGTATGTGGGGGGGGTCGGTGGAAGGCTGGTATAAACCGTTGGTTTTCGACCGCTACGACCCGGGTTCGATTCCCGCATTGGGCACTTTTTTCTGATTTAAAAAAAAAATGCTCCAATGTACCCCCTATTCTTGCATAAGTCATACCCCACCAGTGAGTGCAAATAACCAAACGGGGCTCTGGCATATTTATTTGTAAGTGCAAAGTCAAACTGCTTTTCACGTGTGTAGAGATGTGGTGCATTTACATTAAAAGCAGTCGCCTACTTCTACCCACCATTATTATCATGGCCTGTACCACGTGTACTAGGGATAAGAAAAAAAAAAAAAGAGTAATTGTTTGTTTGTATGCGATTCCCAAGGGTAGGTGGGGGATCATTATGAATTTCGAACTTAATGTATGAAGCAAATGATTAGCGATTTTTTTCATCTTTACCTAATTTTTATCTCTTCTCTTAATATATGATCGTCCCTAGGTGGCCGTTTTAATTTTCACTCATATAAATCTAATTGCTTAATGGTAAATAATAAAAGAAAACAAGACCTAATCCAAATAATTTATTAGTGTGTGACGTTTCGGCAACAACATTGTCACCATCATCAGACAAAAGACATTTTGTCTGATGATGGTGACAATGTTGTTGCCGAAACGTCACACACTAATAAATTATTTGGATTAGGTCTTGTTTTCTTTCTTTTAATAAAATATTTTATAATTTATATTTTTTTACCATATAAAGAGAGTATTTTTGATTAAAAAAATAATAATTTTGAAGAGTTTGTAGCTGAAAATCTACAATGTGACTCACAATGTGCTATGCAAGGAAATTCATAAGAATAATTACCAAAGAACTATGCAAGAAGCTTAACACTTCTTCTTTTGATAAAGCACAATTTGTATTATAGATTATAAACACAAGGTCATAAGACCACAAATGCAAATAAATAAATAGTGTGTGATGTTTCGGTAACAGCGTTGTTACCATCTTCAGACAAAAGTACTGAATGAGAAATTTTACAGCATGGTTTAAATAGTTACTGTTATCAAGTGTGTAAACAAGATAGCAGATAAGAAGATGGTTTTCTGAGAAACACAGATAATTTTATTACAACGGATGTGTAGCAACATCTGTGTATTAAAAAATTATTGAATTTTTTTTTTGCTTATCCATAGTATACATAGTACAGGCCATGATAATAGGTAGGCGACTGCTTTTATTGTAAGTGCACCACATGTCTACAAATGTGAAAAGCAGTTTGACTTTGCCAGAGCCTCGTTTGGTTACTTGCACTCATTAGTTGGGTTAGACTTCTGCAAGAATCTGGGGCCATTGGAGAATTTGCTTATTTTTTATCAGAAAAAAAGTGCGCAATGCGGGAATCGAACCCGGTCATTGCAGTCGAAAACCCACGGTTTAGACCATCCTTCCACCGACCCCTCCAAAAAAAAATGATTGAATTAAAGTATGTGATGAATTATATAAAAAAGACATGTTTTATATCTTCAACATAGATAGCCAGATGTGTTCCATTTACTAATGTTACATAAACAGGCCGTTTGTTGTTTTGTCCATTAAGATTTCTTCTTGAAGCAACAATGGGTGCTAAATGTCAATAATCTCCATAGTGTCATTACACACCAAGATAAACTTTCAAACACTCTAGACTATATATAAGCAAAATAGCAAATACAATAATTATCTTGTAGATTAAATTGATGGAATTACTGGCCAGAATAACCACCAATGAGTCAAGTCTGTTGTTGTTTCTTATTCCCTTGTGCAAAGATTACACAAATTCCATGAGGCTCCAAACTTCCAATCTAATCCAATACAATAGTAGAGCGGTCTAGAGATTAATTTGTCGAAACCGCTGAGAGGGTTCACTACTGATGAGCCAAGCCCTCTCATTCAATAACTCATATTATTGCAGTAAGGTCTGTAGAAATAATATTTGATGATATTTAAAAGAAACGCATTGGCAGTAAATTTATTTCTGTAAAATTTTAATGAATTCCATTAGTTCATGCTCCTCGAGCTATTTTATGATAAGCAGCGGCCTCTCCCAAAGATCCTGTTTAGTGCATCTAACACAAGCTAAAATGTGTTCTGGAGCTGCAGGTGCCAAGCTATATTTTAGGCAAGTGGGGTAGATTTTGTTGTTATTCGCTATCTTCAATGGCTTGAGATGGCCTGTTCTAAATGAGTCAAGTCTTCTTATCATTTTAAATTTTCTGTTAACCATGTAATTGTAGAAATTCAACCCATGTGTGATTAAGGCCAACAAATTAGAGCTGAATAAACCTTCACTAAGGACTTTAGAATTAGGAACAAGTTGAGGTTGTTATAACAAGGTTATAAAACTGTATATATAGATGAGTACAAGTATGCAACTTGCCTTCTCCTGGATGACCTGATCCCTCTCAGCAATCTCCTTCTTCAGCAGGAAGATGTCTTTCTCCAGGTTGTTAATGACAGTCTGAAGCTTGTTCTCCTCTATGTGGAACTTGCGGATGTTGGTCTGTAGCTCATCAATCTCCCTCTTCATGTTGTTCAGCTGCACACAGCCACCCCGGTCAGCAAATATCTCCACCCGGCCATCCATCCTCTTACCTTCTTCACCAACAGAGTGGCTTCTCCCTTCAGACTGGCCTTTGCGTCCCGTTCCATCTTCAGCTGCTTCTCATACGAGGTCCGGATCTCCAGAATCTCTCCGTCAACATCCTCCTCTACTTGCTCCTGCCATTCTCGGTTCTCTTCCTTGATGCGGAACACCTCTTGGCTGGCCTGGACAACACAGCTCTGGTTGTTGATGTTTGACTAGAGGTATACATCCATGTTGACCTGGACAACACAGATATTTTATCTATTCTTGCTAGGCAGGGAAACATTGCTTTGACCGATGATTGACTAGAGGTATACATCAATGTTGGCCTGGACAACACAGCTCTGGTTGTTGATGGTTGACTAGAGGTATACATCCATGTTGACCTGGACAACACAGATATTTTATCTATTCTTGCTAGGCAGGGAAACATTGCTTTGACCGATGATTGACTAGAGGTATACATCAATGTTGGCCTGGACAACACAGCTCTGGTTGTTGATGGTTGACTAGAGGTATACATCCATGTTGACCTGGACAACACAGATATTTTATCTATTCTTGCTAGGCAGG